AGCCAAGGAGTTCGAAGGGTAAGATCAATGTGATTCTAGGAGGTTCTAAATTTTGCCGAGATTCGATAAGTTCCATCAAGAAACATAGGCGAAATGTTTTACTCAAAGCAAGTTTGAGTGAAGAAGTCGATTTTCAAGGTGCATCAATATCATTTGACAAAGAAGAAACGCGGCATCTCGAGAGACCTCATGATGATGCATTAGTCATTACCCTGGACGTTGCCAACTTCGAAGTATCAAGGATTCTAATCGATACGGGCAGTTCGGTCGATCTAATCTTTTTAAGTATTTTAGAAAGAATGGGAATTAGTCGGGCAGACATAATAGGGCCTCCATCTCCGTTAGTAGCATTCACAAGTGAATCAGCCATGTCCCTCGGAACAATCAAGCTACCAGTCCTTGCCAAACGGGTGTCAAAGATCGTGGATTTTGTTGTTTTTGATAAGCCCGCGGCTTACAACATCATCCTCGGGACTCCTTGGATTTATCAAATGAAGGTAGTCCCCTCTACGTATCATCAATGTATCAAATTTCCAGCACCAAATGGAGTGGAAACAATTCGGGGGGATCAAGAAGCTTCGAGAACATGTTATCTAGCTAGCCACCGTTTGAAGATTCAATAGCAATTAACGAAGCCCGAAAAAGAGGGACTAAGACAAAAAATTCCTAGCGGGCAGAAAAGAGATGATGTAGTAATCGAAGTAGTGTTGAAAGAAGACAAACCGGATCGGAAAATTCGAATTGGAGCTACTTTGACTGGGCAAATAAAAGAAGCTTTGATCGAGCTTTTAAGAAAAAACGAAACATCATTTGCATGGTCGGCGGCGGATATGCCTGGCATAGATCCAAGCATAATTTGTCATGAACTGAACGTGGATCCAAGTTTCAAGCCTATAAAGCAAAAAAGAAGAAAGCTCGGAGTAGAACGAGCAAAAATAGTAAACAACGAAGTGGACAAACTTTTAAAGATAGGGTCCATAAGGGAAGTACAATACCCGGAGTGGGTAGCAAACACCGTCGTGGTTAAAAAGAAGAATGGAAAAGATAGAGTTTGCATCGACTTCACGGACCTCAATAAAGCATGTCCTAAAGATAGTTTCCCGCTCCCGCATATAGATCGACTCGTAGAGTCCACCGCTGGGAATGAACTGCTGACCTTCATGGATGCTTTCTCGGGTTATAATCAAATAATGATGAACCCCGAGGACCAAGAAAAAACGTCATTTATCACGGATAGAGGTATCTATTGTTACAAAGTGATGCCTTTTGGTTTAAAAAATCCAGGAGCAACTTATCAACGGTTGGTTAACAAAATGTTCCACAATCATCTCGGGAAGACAATGGAAGTCTACATAGATGACATGTTGGTTAAATCATTAAAGAAGGAGGATCACGTTAAGCATTTAGAGGAATGTTTCGATATTCTCAATAAGTATCAAATGAAGCTGAACCCGGCAAAGTGTACATTCGGAGTCCCATCCGGAGAATTTCTCGGCTATATTGTGACAGAGAGAGGGATTGAGGCCAATCCAAACCAAATCAACGCCTTTCTAAACATGCAGTCTCCGAGAAACTTCAAGGAGGTACAGCGTTTGACTGGGCGGATCGCAGCTTTAAATCGTTTTATCTCGAGATCAACAGATAAGTCGTTGCCTTTTTACCAAATTCTAAAAGGAAACAAAGGATTCCTTTGGGATGAAAAGTGTGAAGAAGCTTTCGGGCAGCTTAAGGCATATTTAACTACCCCACCTATATTATCCAAACCGGAAGTGGACGAAAAGCTTTATCTGTACGTATCAGTTTCAAACCACGCGGTTAGTGGAGTCCTGGTCCGGGAAGACCGCGGAGAGCAGAAGCCGATTTACTATATAAGTAAGTCAATGACGGATCCGGAAACCAGATATACAATGATGGAAAAACTTGCACTCGCAGTAGTGACTTCAGCTCGGAAGCTGCGCCCATATTTTCAATCTCATCCGATCGAAGTATTAACCAACCAGCCACTCAGAACAATACTTCATAGTCCAAGTCAGTCCGGACATCTGGCGAAATGGGCGGTAGAATTGAGCGAGTACGATATAGAATTCAAAAGCCGAATCAGTATGAAGGCTCAGGTTTTAGCAGATTTCCTGACCGAACTACCAATACCTGGCACGCTAGAACAACTAGAGAACCAAACTTGGAAATTGCATGTAGATGGGTCTTCATCAAAGCAAGGATCCGGAGTGGGAATCAAGTTGGAATCTCAAACATTGGAAATTTTAGAACAATCATTCCGATTATTATTTAATGCTTCCAACAACGAGGCAGAATACGAAGCCCTAATTGCCGGACTTCGATTGGCACAAGGAGTTGGAGCTAAGGAAATAGTCGCTTATTGTGATTCGCAATTAGTAGTTAACCAGTTTAATGGAGACTACGAAGCCAAGGAATCAAGAATGGAAGCATACCTCGAAGTGGTGAAGGATCTATCTAAAAATTTCTCGAAATTCGAATTAATTCGCATACCCCGGGGAGAGAATACAACCGCGGACGCACTTGCCGCATTAGCATCAACATCAGATCCTGACTTGAAAAGAGTTATCCCAGTAGAATGCATTTCGGAACGAAGCATTCAAGACTCGTCGTTACAAGATCTCGAGCAGCGGCACGTGACCGTGACGAACCGGAGGTCGAACTGCCACCCATCAAACGGAGGAAATCAAAGGGATCAAACACATCTAATAAGGAACCTGTTGTCTTAGCAGAAGATGTGATTCCAGAAACAATATTAGAAACCGAGCCATTAATCGAGGAGGATGTTCTTGAACCAAACGAACATCCCAAACCAGAGCCACGAGTATTTCACAAGGTTGACCAAATTCCGGCTAAAGACTGGGGGCTGACTGGAGGGAGCCAATAAAGCACTACATCATGACAGGCGAGCTCCCAAAGAATAAGTGGCAGGCCAGGAAAATGAAAATCGTTAGCGCGAAATTTTGTCTATCAAAGGATGCATTATATAGACGAGGTGTCAGTGACCCTTACCTATTACGCATTTTTGGGCCCGAAGTCGAAATCGTCATGAGCGAAGTGCATGAAGGATTATGTGGGAGTCATTCATCAGGAAGAGCTATGGCTTTTAAAGTTAAAAGAATGGGATACTATTGGCCCTCTATAATCACGGATTCTGTTAAATTCGCCCAAAGATGTAAGCGCTGCCAACTCCATGCACCATTGATCCATCTACCTTTAGAGTTATTCTCTTCCATCTCCGCCCCATACCCGTTTATGAGGTGGTCAATGGACATCATTGGACCATTGCACAGATCAACTCGAGGTGTACAATACCTTTTGGTCTTGACGGACTACTTTTCGAAATGGATTGAAGCTGAAGCATATGTTGGCATCAAGGATTCGGCGGTGAAGACTTTCATTTGGAAGAATATTATATGTCGACATGGAGTTCCGTACAAAATAGTCACCGATAACGGGCCACAATTCATTTCACAAGAGTTTGATGCCTTTTGTGCGGACTGGGGAATCAAAGTCAGTTACTCTACTCCACGATATCCGCAAGGAAACGGTCAAGCCGAAGCCGCGAACAAGACGATACTGAGCAATCTCAAGAAACGTTTAAATCATCTAAAGGGAGGATGGTATGAAGAACTCCAACCCGTCCTATGGGCCTATCGTACAACCCCTAGGCGACCTACCGGAGAAACTCCATTCTCTTTGGTTTATGGCATGGAGGCAGTAGTACCAGCTGAACTGAACGTGCCCGAACTTCGCCGAACAGAAGCACCATTAAATGAGGAAGAAAATTTAGCAATGCTTAATGATTCACTAGATACCATAAATGAAAGGCGTGATCAAGCTTTGATTCGGATTCAGAACTACCAGCAGGCAGCAGCCCGATATTACAACTCTAAAGTCAAAAGTAGGCCTTTCTTCGTGGGAGATTATGTGTTAAGGCGCGTCTTTGACAATAAAAAAGAAGAAGGTGCCGGTAAACTCGGTATTAATTGGGAAGGACCTTATATTGTTACCGAAGTGGTTCGGAACGGTGTTTATAGATTGAAAGACTTAGAAGACAGGCCAGTCAAGCGACCTTGGAATGTGATCAACCTAAAGAAGTTTTATGTTTAAAGCTACATGCATTTTTTATGTACATGAACTACGGTGTGGCTTGATCCCGAAACGGGTACGTAGGCAGCTCGGAAACGAGTTCAACTATTAATAAAAATTTGTTTTATTTATTTATTAAAGGAAAAGGTTCGACTGAGCGAACAAGTGAAGCAGATAAAGGTTCGGCTATGCGAACATACAAGAGATTGGAAATAGAGCGTTTATTCAAACAAATAAGACGGAATGTCCCTCATCGTACACTTTGGATTAGGGAAATCTTGTTGACGAGCAGAACACTTCAACTCCTTGACCAGCAAGATCGAAGATTGGCATCATGCAGTCCGGAATTCGAACGAAGTCAGAGATTCCAAGCTCGATCCATTCTCCGGGGTGAGAGCCAAGGATGTGAAGTCTCTCGATACCGTAGTAAGCCTGCGTTGCATCCGGATAATCCTCTTCCAGAGTCTCCTCTTTTCCAATGTAAGCTTCTGATGTTGAAGCGCAAGTGCCTCTATGAATGCCATCGCTGTTCCTTGGTCTCTGATTGGGAGATCCCTGATCAAAGCGCACGGAGCTCGGATTGGAGATCTGAAGAAGCCGCGAGGTGGAAGAGGCTGCCTGTTTGGCTCATTTGGAACATCTTCGTTTATCATTCCAATCCTGGAGAAGTCGGGCATAGATTCTGAACATCGAAAGTTGAACTCCATACCTGCTAAAATGAAAAAGAGTGGTGAGGAGTAAAGGGAAATCGAGACTAAAATTTATAAGAACGTCATATCCCTTGGAGTGATTCGCGGAGAGATTTATGCTCTTAAACCAATCCTGCATTAAAAGGCGTATCTCCGAGAATATTTTTAAGAATAAGGAAAATTGCAAATGTTTCCATAAATAAAAAAAAGAGGGCCGAAGCCCATTACGAGTTCAAAATAGGAGCAGAGTTAGGGAACATTTAAGGAAGAGGCTCAGGAACAGGCTCCTTCATCGCCGGTTTGATTTTCGAAGTGGACGCCTTGTTCTTGGCATCCACTTCGGAACGATCCCGAACGCGTTTCCGACAGGTGCTGGTATCCTCCTCGCCTTCTTCTTCGCCATCAGATGGAGCGGTATAGATCGGGGCATTCACGGGCCCCGGAACTCCCTTAGCACGGAGATACATCCGGAGCATCTTCGGGATCTCAGCAACAGAATCAAAATTCCGCCATTCCCATTGAAAGGGATCACTTTCCAGAGCTCTTATCTTCCTCTCCACACGGGCGATGCGAGCTTCTAGTGTTTGCCTTTTGAGACCTAGCCGCTGCCTCTCGTCGCACAAGCGACGGTGCTTGTCGACAACCTAGAATAAAGATAAGTAGGTAAAAAGGAGAAAGCGGAAAGTTTTGATCAAAGAAGATAAGTACTAAACCTTATCCAGGAAATCGCAAGCCTCTTTCTTTTCCTTTGAAGGGAAGTGAAACACGGCGTGCGGGAAGAGGACACCTGCCGACTCAAAACCATCACCAGACAGAAAAAGCGGGCTGCCGGGATCAACGGGGACTACGTTTTCGTTTTCCATTGATGTGGTGCTTGTTGAATGAATTATGAAGTTTCTTAAGAAAAGATTAAAGGCAAACAATCTCCTATTTATAATAGGAATAGGGTTTGTCTTGGAAGCGAAAAATCATTAATAATGGCGTGCCCAAGCAACTTAAACCATTTTTGGAAATCGAGAAAAGGCAGTTATTGCATTAAAGACGAGCCGCTTTTCCTACTTTCAAGAAATAAGAAGGGAAAGAGCAACCGTCGCATTAACTACAAACGTTTCTAAGGCCCAAGCCCAATAAATTTACCGAGTTGACTAAACCCGAAGTGGGGAACTCGCTTTAAGCCGAGCTCAGTTCTCGCATTCTAAAGAGAAAGGTCTGATCAGCCTAAAAATCTCGAAAACATAACCACAAGGCCACAAAAGATTAAAAGCGGACTTTGCAAACCCGCACATAATTTTAACCAAACCCTCTTGGGATCATAACCTAGAAAAGTTTAAAAGCCTCTTCAGGCGAATATTTTGTTTAAGAAAAAAAAGGTAATTATAAAGCCTCCTTAGGCAAAAACAAGTTCAAAATTAAGTTTTGAAATAAATGAGACAATCCCCAATTTAAAGTGGACACAGCCACTACGGGTTAACGGCCACCTCGGACTCCGTCTCGGCTGTCAAAGTTTCATTCACCTCCTTGGCTGGTGCTTAGTCAAGCGAAGCTCCTGGTCTGCTTTCCACGGTACAAGCATCCGTCGGGGTGACCTCCGGTACGGCTGGAACTTCGGGAGGGGCGGCATCTTCCACCTCACTTGAGCCTAGGAAGGATAGTTTCAGTCAACAAAAAAATATATATATGATAGGGCAAGAAAAAGATAGTAAGTATCAAGAGCTGGAGATTACCTTCCCAGTCTAGACCCGATTCACTTGGGGGAGGTGATTCAGTAAAAAATTCCTCGAAGTGCTGTGGGTTGAAGGTTGAAGCAGGAAGAGCTGCCAAGCGACTCCGTTTTTCAGATAAATTAGCGGTCAATTCGGATCTTTCTTGCGCTTCGGAGAAATCTTTGTCATGGATCTGATCCAACAGGATCAGGTTGCTCTCGTGCTCTTTGATGTCAGATTCTAGATCTGACCTAGATTTCTCAGTTTGGATAAAGCGGATAGCCCCTTGGATCAATTCTATCCCGCGTCCCTTGACCTCTTTTCTGGCCTTCGATGCTGACCTTGCTAACTCGGAATCACGCAACTTGGCGATCGCCTGGTACTTCGCGTGAAGCTCGGTAAGTTGGTTGTTCAGGGTATCGGCGGATGATTCAGACTCATGAAGTCTACCCTGAACACCAGAAAGTTCATCCTGGAGCTTGTAATTCCGGTCGTACTGGTCCTGCAGCTCCCCCTTTATCTTCGCAAGCTCGGATGATAGACCACCAACCTTGTCCTCCAGATCATGCTTGGAGTCGGTAGAAGAACGGAGCTCAGCCTCGAGATTAGAAAACTTGGTCTTCAACGGGTCAATCGCGTTCTCCCGACCAAGGACCAACCGTTCGTAATGTTCATTATGTCATTAAGCTCGCCGTTAGCCTGATATTACACATAAACCCGGAATGACGGATCAGTTCGAAGAATGACAGTGAAGTCAGAAAAATGAAGCGGAACTAACCCGAGATGAATGATGAGCATGAAGTAGGTATCGTTCACAAATTGCAGAGCGCCACTTGTTGAACTCCGGCAGGATCGCACCTGATCAGGTTTTGAAGCACCGAAAAACGTTACCCTCTTTTTCCATGGATACGAAAGCAAAAGAGGAAAGGTCTTAGAAATTCAAAATAAGTACAAGACAAAAAGAAAAGAATACATGTATATCATCATACCTGAGAGCGATTTGATCTGAGGAACAAGAACAGGCTTTGTCTTCGGAAAGTCATCTCGAGACTCAGAACTTTCCTTCTGAGAAGCTGCACCCAAGTTCGTCTTCTCGCCACTACGTTGAGAAGAAGAAGACATATCGACAGGACGAGGAGGACCCATTGGTTCAGTAGGAGGGGACGATCGAGGAGAACAGTCAGTCCGGGCCCTTGACTTCTCTCTTCGCGGAGAAGAACCACTGCGGGATGACTTGTCCCTCTTTTTGCGAATTAAATCCTTAAGCGGTTCGTTGCTAAAGTCATCTCGGGAAGAACGAGGAGAGTCACGGTTAGGAGATTGGGGCCTCCGGGGAGGACGGTCATCGTGACGTTCACGTCGAGGTGTCAATCTAAAAACGGCGACGGATCTGGCTCCTTCGGTGCTACCGTCGTCAACCAATAAGGTTTTGCTATAATCTTTTTTGTCAATGGCGGTCGCAAAGAACGCCTTGTTCTCATCACAAGCCTCAGCCATCGGTTTGGAAATCATTTTTCGCTGGGCAGTGAGAGCCCGAACTGACATTCCCTGGGTTGAGGGAGGAGGCGGAAGATGATGAAGTTGATTGGGAGGGCTCATCCTGAGTTTTCGATTGGCTTCTATGAACCGTTTGAGAGTGAAAAAATTCCAAAGGGTTTCTCCTTCGAGGATTATTTTGAAGAAGCCAATGAATTCTTCAGTTGGTAAAGTTGGAGCGACGAAAGCTGCGAAGTGAAAATAACAAGTTTAATCAATAGAATAAAATAAATTGGAGGAATGTATGCGACCTAATTTCTACCAGGTTTCGCGGACCACTTCGATGGGAGTAAATCTGATAGACTTCCAATCGAAGCAGGGGTTTTCTTAATCAGGAACCAAGGGTGATGCCAATTTTCATCCTTGTTTGGAAGATGTGAAATGATGTTCCTGTTAGCGTTAGGGTATGCCGAGAAATACCCTGTCTTCTTTGATGAACTTCTCACGCTTAGAAGCTCATTCAGCTCGGGGACCCTTATAATGTATCCGGCTTTCGCCGCTACTGTTATAATTCCGAGTATGGTTCGGAGAAGATTGGGGGTTAATTGAGGAAGAGCGATCTCGAGAACCGCCAAGTACCGAACTAGGGCTTCGGGAAGTGGGAAGGTTAATCCGCAACCCTTGAAATAAATCTCGTACACACAGAAGTAACCATCGCGATGGTTCTCTGGGGATTCTGTGGGGTCAGCTATTTGTGCTTCTGCCATAATTATCGGCGGAATCCGGCAAAGCTCTCTCAACCGCTCGAGGGATTGAAGAGTGCAAGTGGATCTATAGTGCGGACCGGCAATATCATTAGGGCGAGTGCACTCGTCATTACTAGAGCGCCTATCGTCGAATGACGGAGATTCGGGTCTTTCAGAATCAGAAGTCATTGGGGAAAATGAAAGGTTCGAGATCCGACGAGGAGAAATTTGGCGAAGGAAAAGAAGAGAGAAGTTTCGAATAAAGTGCAAATGTAAAAGTAAAAGTAGAAAATGATGATGAAAAGAAGTTACCTTACACAAGCTAAATGATGGAACCGCCTCGGAAGTTGTGTGCGAAGTGGGAAGGTTTTTCCCGTTTTAATAGTAATTAATTAATATACGGTCATAATGATGACAAATGTCACTCGGTTAAAAATGGCTAGTGCCAAAATTAAAGGAGTGATGAGATTTTCGGCGGGAAATCAGAAAGATTCTCGAGCGCAATCTTTGGTCATTTAAGCATTTAAAGTCCTCCGAATTGGAATGGCACTTCAAAAAACTTGGGGGGCTAATTGTTGGTGTAGGATCCCGCACCAGAGGTCCAGGACCAACCAAAGATTGCCACGTAGTCAGGGTAACGGCCCATAAAGGATAAAGCCCATTAGATCCACAAGTCAAAAGAACAATCGAAGTGGTTACCACCATAAGGAGAATCCGAAGTGACTGCACCTCGACATGAGTCCGGAGACGAAGTCATGGTTAAATCGGTCCAAGGACATTTGGGCCAAAAGGCGAGGCCCATGAAGATCAGAATCAACTCAAATTCGAACGTTGAGCATTAAAATCAAAGATCAAAACGGACACATTTAAGAGAGAATAATTGTACTTAATTAGCCATTTAAATGTCGTTTTTCTAGGTATAAATATAAAGGCCAATGGCCATGTAAAGGGGATCTTCTCTCTCGAGTAAGAAATACTATAGCAATTTTCGTAGCAATTCAATAAGCTTTTTGCATATCTATTTTTGTCCCTCAAGAGTAATCTTTCCTACTTAATAAAAATACTTGAGTGGGTGAATCCGACATCCACATTTATGGAAACTGAGCAAAGAGGATAGGAAAGCTAATAGAGGTGCTCTTTTGATCGCAAATAGTGTAACCTTGGAGGATCGAAGACAAACATACGTAACTTCAGGCTACCCCTTTTGGTTAAAGGATTTGTTCACAGAAGAGATGTGTGTTGTTTAGTTGTAATGCGTTTTTTGTTTTCTCTGATGGTGATTGTCTTCGATCATATATTTTTTGGGACTTGTTGTAAATCGTTAACAGCTCTTTTGCTAATGAAATTATTCAGTCGAAAAAAGAAAGATAATGCTCTTTTTAGTACTTTTTTTTTGTGAGCGTTATTTCTAGTACCTTAAACTCAATTTTAAGGATATTTACAAACTTCGCAGAAAAAACAAAAAAAAAACAATTTCCTGAGAATAGTTTTCTCCTAAACGGATCTTAATCGTGATTGAACTACATGTTAAAACGTTGGGGTAAATTGCGGGATTAATCTTTGCCAAATGAACACCCTTGCTATCACATTCACAGTATGACACAATTTCCTTATGGTACGAACCCATATTTTTGTATGGATGATTTTACCCGCATTTCATTTTTCACCTCTTTCATGGCAGCATGCATACTCAGCCTCATAACTAGTCGACAAAGCTATAATCTATTTAACTTTGAAGCCAAAAATTACACTACCATTAAAAATGTATACATATCCGATCCACTAATCCGAAAATAATGGTGAGCTTATATATATTTTTCAGATTCCTAAATATTCCAATTAAAAACTTTCAATTTCCTAAATTGCTTATTAACTTACTAATAACTTCCCCTCTACAATTTCTCCGATCTTAAGCATGTCATCACAGACATATGGTGGCCAATATATAACATAAGCATACAAAACCTTATCCTATATGTTATCTCGTGCTCGATCACAGAATTGATCTTTTGATTGACAAAACAAAAGAGTATTATCCGGTTCTACTTTCGATGTTGAACGTCTTGAAAACTTTTTTCACATACTCCTTTTATGATAGATTAAGATTTTCTTTCATTATGTTAATTCTCATTCCAAAAATTTAGTTTGATCAAATTACTAATTAATATTTAATGATTAGTTATTGTTATCTAGAAATGAAATAATAATAATTAAAGTTTATTTTTTTTGTAAATACTATAAGTTTATAATAAAAAAAATCTAACCAATATAATTTGGATATATATATCCAAATTATATTTGTGGAAGCCATATCTATGTTAGTGGAAGCCATATATCAAATCGTTTTCAGTGCCAAGTAAAATTGACGTTTTATAATAATTCAATGGGGCAAAAGAACCTGGTGTATATTAAACAAGCAAACCCATAATAATAAAGAAAAGCTGATTGTACGAAATAAAATTAAAAAATCATAACAATAATTGTTTAACCTAGAACCTGATATTTGGCTCTACCGTGTTCTCTCCTCTTTGTATAAATAGCCGTTACTCTTTTTCACTACCAACAACACTTAGAGAACAAGCAGAGGAATATAACTTTTTTTTTCTTTTTCCTTTTCGCTTTTTTACAACATTGTAAGATGCACTACACACGCATCTCACCGGTTTTAGTACCATCTCCGCCACCAACAACCGCCGTTGAATCTAGCGGCGGTGGGCCGATGATAGCTACCGTTTTCATGGCCCTCCTCCTTCCTTGCGTTGGCATGTGCATCGTCTTCCTAATATATCTCTTCCTCTTGTGGTGTTCCACACGTCGTCGTATTGAACGTCTTCGATTTGCGGAACCTGTTAAACCGGTCACCGGTAAAGGCCTTTCGGTGTTAGAGCTCGAGAAAATCCCTAAACTCACCGGAAAAGAGCTTGCCATAATAGCTAGGTCGACGGAGTGTGCCGTTTGCCTTGAAGATATAGAGAGTGGTCAATCGGGTCGTCTAGTTCCCGGTTGCAACCATGGGTTTCACCGATTATGTGCTGACACGTGGCTATCTAACCACACGGTTTGTCCAGTTTGCCGCGCCGAGCTGGCTCCGAACATTCCTCAATGTAATGAAAATCAAAGTCCATGTTAAAAACAGAATCTTTAAAATTATTCTTTCCTTCTTTTTTACTCGTTTTGTGTACTTGTCTTGTTTAAATTTTGTACTGCCTTTTGTGTAAGCGTTATAGAGAGAAGTTTCCAGGTATTAGTTGTTTTTTGTTGTACATGAAATTAATTTTAGAGTAAAGTAAAAAATTTATAGTTTTGCCATTGTATTTACAACAATTTTTCTACACCCATTACAATAAGTATATCAGTGATAGAGTTAAATTCGGAGCTGCAGAATAGTAAATCAGATCACTATTAATGTAATGATTACTTTTGCCCACACAACATATAATGAAAACTATGATATCAATAAACAAATAAGTACATAAAGACATATTTTGGGTATTTATTTAATAATGGAGGTCAAAATATTTTGACAGATGGCACTGTAAAGATCTGCCAGAATATGGGGAGATTAATTCCATAAAGATGTAAATTTTTCTTAATTTCGAGAAATTTTTCAAAATTTTCCATAAAGATTAATTCTATCGTGATTGGTTTTGAAGGTTTTCAAATCAAGTGGTATTAAATCGCTATCTCTTAAAGTGTTTGAAACTTTAAAACAAAGATGTAAATAATTCTCTGCCTATATTTCTTGGGTCGATTAATATGGTAAGAAAATGAACTGTCCAGCTGCATGCTTTTTTATTAACGCGTTTCTAAAACAATATCGAATTTACTAAAAAAAAGTGATTGGATGCATTTACTTCTTCTTTTAAGATAAATTGTCACCACCATCTTTTTCCAATCACCAATGATAATAAACCCATTCATTGGATTCAATAAAATAATATACTTTCTGGGAAATTTTTGTTTATATGATTACATGTAAATCACACTATTTATTTTGGGGCAAAAATGTAAATCACACTTTAATTGAGTTTGCATAGTTTCAGTTTTTTTTTTTTTTGGGGCTTTTAATCCTTCTTAATTCAGCGAACTAATTAAAAAACAACATTAGATAGTTTTAGTCAGGATTTGAAACATATGTAAGAAAAAAAAGTAATATAATTTTCAACAAAATATTAAGTTCAAACCTGATTTTACATTTAACAACGTGTAAATTGGCCATTGGACCATGTACAAATGTACATTAGTTATTTTCCTTGGACGACATTGTTCAAATAGTCATTAACAAAGAGAAATTGTTCAAATAGACAGAAATAAATGAATATATCTGTGGCAGTCAATACCATAATTAATATTGTTGGTTGTCTGTAACGTAAGTCTTTGGGCAACAATATTTGTGGGTTTCGAGTTTGTTGGCGTGAAGGAAATGGAAAATATCTCAATTGGTAAAGAAGTAGGGGGAAAACCACTTTTTGTGGCTTTGACAAATCAGGTGCCAAAGTTGTTGCTTTGTCTCTTGAACGAAGGAAAAAAATCAAAGGAAAAATTTAAGACTCATATGAATACAAAAGTATTACATGAATAATGTAAACAAAAAGAGAATGTGTGATTGGGGGGAGAGCAATCGCCAGCTAGCAAGTGGGATACATCTGTCTCTTAGATTAAACTTCATTTGAGTGCCTTTATCAAAAAAGGGCAATAAAACATTTGAATTGGTTACGCCTACTTTATACATTTCTTTATCATAAAGCCTTTATGTAGTGCTCCGAAAATTATCTTCAATCTCTTTTTCGACTCCTTATTTGGTTTGTTCTAATCTAGATACACTATATAAACATAAATTAACAAAGTATAAGAAATACTATAAATAATTTGACAATGACATATAGTGCTAGGTGTTAGCCACTCTTACACTTGTTAGTTTTGAGACTTTAAAATGTATAAATGCAAGAGATGAGTCTTTGAAATCCTATATCGATTTAAGGTTTACATTCTAGTTGTCAAGATTGAGAGTGGAGGCCTGGAGGGTAAGAACACATTAACACTACAATGATAAGATTTTAAATATGCTAGAATGAATTTCCCGGATGTGATAGTGCTTGGGGCTCTTTTCTCCAAACAAGAAGTCATGGATGTCGTTTGGTTATCCGAGAAATTAGATCTTCCTCGAGTCATCGAAAACTAACGACCGATGGAGTCAGCCCGCATGGAGTGTGTTGTGGAAGGTATTGTCATTAAGAGCTGGAATCTAGACTTTCTTCAATAGGGCGGCCGGGTAAATGGCGGATGAGCGCAATATCATATTATGTTTTCATGAAGTGGGATTAACCGAGAGAATCATTGTTGTTCTATTAGGTTGGCTGGTTATAGAAGACAAGTTATTTACAAAACCGAGTAGCGGCAACCGTTGCTAATTATCATCAAGCTTCTTACACTTCAGCTTAATCATGCATCGTACATGGAGCAATGGACATAGTATGAAAGTAATGATTAAAGAGTTTTAAAATCTTAAAGTACTACAAGTGCATAGAATATCAAAGTAATATTTTTGTGGCCCAACCTCATTGAAATTATATATATGAAAGTTGTCTAATTCTCTCAATGTGAGTGTCATATCGTCAGAAGCCGCCACATGTCATCACCATAAATTTATTAAAAACATTTATGTTAAAAACTCATTAAATTATCTTATGTTTAAAATCTGAAATAATTGCGGTAATCGATGCGTTTTATCAAGGTCGGCCCAAGATAAATTGCTTGCAAAATTTATTTTTGACCAGTCATTGAACACATTTTTTAAAAAATTATATAAAAAATATAATAAAGAGAATTGAACCTGGCATCTATGAGGAGAGAATGAAAGAGTAACCACTCTATCACAATAGATTTTTGAAAAATGATACCGTTAAATTGTTTTATAGATATTTGCTGCCTAAAATCCTTTCTTTACGGGCTCTATCCTTGGGCTATTCCCAAACCCAATTTTTTGTTTTTCCCACGTTAACCCAACCCAAAATTTTGGGCCTAAATATTATAAATGCCCAATAAATACTAACACTCTCACACATTATTCACGAGAGAAACCAACAACTCTCAACACTTAGAAAAATCTGAAACCCTAGCCTCCTCTCTTCATCCCTTCATCTCTTTGTCTCTTCATCGTCACATCTCTTCACCATTGAACTGCCATGGCTTCCTCCAGCCGACAGCAGGACCGCCGGCATCCACGAAACTCTGGCTCGGGTCCGGCAGGTACGTTTTCTTCGTCTCTTCTTCTCCTTCTCGATTTTTTGTTAGATCTGATGTTATTGTGGATGTTTAGGACTGTCTAGGATTCAATTAGTCTATGCCTTTTCTCGATTTTCTCTTTGTTCGATTTCACTCTTTGTCTAGGGTTATAGATCTTTTGTTTATGATTTGTACTTGTTTCTGATTTTTTTGCAAGAGCTAAACCATCGAACGGTACCTCCTGGAGCTGTACCAAATGGAACTGTACCACCAGGAGCCACTCCATCTCCAAGCGCTACGTCGTCACATGCAAACAACTGCAGCCAAAGAACTCTTGATGCATTGCTGAGTGCTCCTGAAAGAGACTCCCAGCCACACCTGCACCCAAGGAAGCTTAATGGAGCTTTATGGTTAGTTTAAAATAACCACACAATGTTTGTTTGGTTTGAATAAGTTTCTTCATTGTTGTCTTCGAATCTAATGTTTTGTTCTCTTTTCTCAGGTTTGGTGTTGACCCCTCTGTCTACAAATTCATTCGCACAACATGGCAAAGCAATTTCATGGGACCATGGAAGAACTGGTGATAGTAAGATTTTAAC